AAAAAAAAAAAAAAAAAAAAATCTACATCTATCTATCTATCTATCTATCTATCTATCCAGAGCGTGTGTGTGCATTGCAAATAGCTATATCTTAAAACTAAGTCAGCAGGTGTTTGCTATTCGAGAGGTGCGTGAGATGTATCTCGAAAAAATGAAAACTAAATAAGTTACCCATTAAACCTCTGTCAGCAACATTAATTTGAAGAAGAATATAGAAAACGCATGTGTACGAAATTTACTTTCATCTTCCATTTCTATCAGCCTCAATATGAACAAACAGAACGACAGGTCAGACAAGAAGTTGTTACAACTTCTTGGGTCAGGACAAGTCAGGTCACTATCGTAGCCACACGGCCGTTGGGACTCTTTGATGAGTTCACAATTTTCCTCCATCCCTCGCGGTCCCTCGTCTGTCTGACACAAGTCGTTGCGTTTCGCTTCGAATTCGTCCAAGCTACGATATCTCCTTTCCATGTGTTTCTTGGCCGCCCTCTGCCTCGGCTTCCTTCAACTGCTCCTTTATTTATGCAAACGTCAAAAATTCTACTTGTATCTCGTGAAAGCAGAAGGAATAGGAGACTTCGATTCTGGGAAGGTGTTGAAAAACACAAAAAGTCGCTGATGTAGGGTAGACTTATTATTCAAACCTTTGAGAACGCAGAGAGTTGTTCTATGCTGCATAAAGGAGTGCTAGTAAATTGTGGCGGTAAAGCGTTCTTGTGGTCGACAATTGACAAAAATCGTGAGACATTGTATTTCGATTCTATTCCGCCTACACATAAGCAGGGATACTAAAGGAATGCCTTGTCGTTTTCTATTTAAAAGTACTTTGTAAATGATGCGTTTCTGCATTCAAAGGGAGGTTAATTTTATTCGATTGATGAAACGGCAACTGTACAACGCGCAATTTAAGACATGAAGATTCTGTTTGTGTCCGAAAATGTCGGTTGATCTGAATTGAAAATGAACTAGGCTTAACCGCAACCTCATACAAGGTGCAAAATGACGATATATACATGGAGGAAAACTTAGACTACTACTCACGAGCAGGGATTAACACTATGGAATGCCATTTCGATTTCGTTTATAGAAGTAGTAACTTTTCAGTTCAACAGGTGATATATTTAATTCGAGTGATTACACGGCAACTGTATAATGCGTTATTTCAAGCTTGGACCTATATATTAAATATTTAGGTCCAAGTTTCAAGGAAGGTTTATTTGTCCAAAAAGGTGATTACGTGTAGGTTGGTCTGAATTGAAATTTATAAAGTGGCAACCTGATACAGGGCCCAATGTGAGGATGATACACAGGAAAACTTAAACGAGGAAACAAATCACCTCTTTTACGTCATCAACTTGATCACGTCTTTTGAGAAAATAATAAAAGACAAACAAAATACGCCCCCGTCAGATACCGGGCTGTTAGCGCTACTTTATCCAAGGACCCATGAAACATCATGGTTGGTGGGTCCTTGCTTTATCAAATATTTCGTAAATCCTGTTGATACACGTATTTATAAAGAAAATAGCTTTTCATTATGTAGGAATAAAGAATCAACAGGGGGTTTTATTGGACAATGGGCGCATCGTTTTTATTCCAACTTCCTTTACATTATTTACCAGTATAAAGACACGGATGTCTATGCAGTGTATGTTTCCATTCATAATTAAAACTGCTGTTTTATCACGATTTTCATTTTGACATTAATGACAACACTTTTCAAGAAATGAGAAAGGCTATCGCGGATATGACCAACGTATGCTCATTTCCATACTTAATACTGGTAGTTTAAAAATAGTCCTAGCCACGCAAATTGGAAATAGAACAGGAACTACAAGTAGGTTAACCCATGGAGTGAGTGTTGAGCACCTTATTTGCATTGGGAATCACGGTCGGAAAACATACAAACTAACATTGGCTTGCTTGACTTACAGTCTCATACTAGGACTAACCCCCATGGGTAAATACATAAGCCTGTTGATCCTGCTTTTTTGGTCTAGATTTTGCAGAAGCGCACAGGGTAAGTAAAATTTGCCTCAGTTACTGCATGTAGTCGTAGATAATATAGGGCAACAGCAGCGGCTGTTCATATTATCGACATCAAAATTAAAACACTAGAGGAATGGAATTTTAAAATATGAAATTCGCAAATACATGACCATGAAATGAAGCTGTAATTCTAGAAGAGCACGAAGATGATAGCAATGGTGGGAGAGGGCGGGGGGGGCGAGCGTCAGTGAACCACCTGACATGAGAGCAGTGGACCACGTGTCCCCCATCACCAACATAATTTTAGGGGATCGTCCGTCTCCCTCTTCTTCCCTTTAAAGAAAAGCTCAACACGAAACAGAACTTAGTAATTCATCGTCCCTACATTTAGAGTCTGGGCCCATTCTCATTGAAACTATATCGTTCTATGCTGATTGCTCCAACTCCGCGGGGACTGTGATGAATGTAATCGGATTAAGATATTAAAACGTCTGGTGTTGAGTAGAATACAGAAAAGCTGGTAATTATACCAGTACAAAAGGAGGCGTGTTAATTTGTTTATCTGATTGCATTCAGCGAAAGTCCGCGAGGATTTAGATGAATCTACATAGAACGATAGTTTCAAAGGGAATGAGCCCTAAATGGAGGCTTGTCCACCAATTAAAAGTTGCCTAGATTCACTAGGCAAAAAGTCTTATCCTTGTGCCCCCCCCCCCCCACACACACACACACTACACACACACTTTGCAAATTTTTGATCCTCCAGTGAGGATTGATACTTAACGGCCAAACGGGCTTTAATATGCTGTTACACATAATACCTTTCATTTCTTTCATTCTCTTTTTATGGACATTTTCATACGTTGTTCATTTATAGCATTTACATCAGCAACCCATATCTTTTTTATCAAAGCTATTTTCTTTCTATAGCATGTATTTCTTTTGATAAGCTCCAGGGTGCGGGGTTCGGAAAATTCTACCAACAAGTCGTATCATAGGTGGAGAAACGGCTTTCCCAAACTCTTGGCCATGGATGGCTTATATTGAACTTGGTCCTGCCTCACATCAATGTGCGTCGCTGTGCGGTGGAAGCCTTATTGCCCCACAGTGGGTGTTAACAGCTGGACATTGCCTATATACACCGTGCGTACATGAAATAGTTATTTGTATTACAACATGGAATTTATGTTTTGTAAACTTTTTTATATAACTGAGTGGGAGAGCTCGCTGGTTTTATTTTTCATTTTCTTGGAAGAATGAGCACGTACAGCATGCGAGAGCATAACACTATTTTTTTCATTTTCTCGGAAGAATGAACACGTATGGGCGAGCATAACACTAGATGAGATTTTTTTGATAAAATAAACGGAATGGTGATTTACTAAGAACTACATTTACTAAGAACCATCAATGCGTGTCGTGCGTCGTTTTTATTGTATCCGGTAGCAAGCAGTGGGTAGATACATGTATCCTTTCACTACCATAGGTGAGCTAATTTGAATTTTGTAATTGTTGGAAGTTGAAAGGGCTTCTGGTTGAGAGTACATGTACATGTATTAGCTACCGTCACTGTTCCTATATAGAGAGAGAGTAGGCCTACATGCGGATTTCATTTTGATCATATGCGTAACATTTTTCGATGTCATTGTTTTTAGAGAATATTGTCCTGATCAACGAAAATGGAAGGTGTCTGAAATTTCTGTTTTCCTCGGAGTCCACGACCGAGAGGACCTGAAAGGGACCGTGAAGCGAGGTGTGGAGAAGGCCATTTACCACCGTGATTATCACCATCCCAACCACGATAGCGACATAGCGTTGTTGAAGTTATCCTCCCCGGTGCAGTACAGTGACCGTATAAGTCCTCTGTGCATGGCGAACGTCCCTGGAATAGTGAGCGACGGCGCACGGTGTATGGTGACTGGCTGGGGATTGACGGCAGCATGGTGTACGTGGGAAATGTTTAAATTTGTTCATTACCTCCGCCAAGGAAGGTTATATTTTTCACAGTAGTGGACAATATGTTAAAAAAATAATACACAAATTTTGTTGAGAATTTTAGGATAGACAGTATTTCAAAAGAGGAAGAATTGATTACAATTTTAACTATTAAAAATGGCCTTTTTTATTGGCAGAGGTTTGCGCTCTCGGGGTAGACTCTCTATAGTTCACATGTAGGTCAACGGAGAGAAGGAGAGAGCAATTGGCATAATTCCTGATTCCTATCTGCAGGGGCGGATCCAGAGATATTTCCTGACAGACTTCAAAATTATCTTTGTTGATCCATCCTTCATTTTTGACCGTCTTCCGACAGAAAAAATTAGATACCCATCAATGTTTACTAAAAAATCTGACCGTCTTCCAGAAGACCCAGAAGACGGCCTATATCCGCCCCTGATCTGAATCCATTTTCTAACAATTTAGAAGGAATCGTGATAACTGCCATCTAGTTAAGATGCCAATAATGCCGTTTCATGTAATATCATTAACCCTTTTAGCAAGGGTGCCGAGCAGATATTTGATGGAGGTTTTGGTAACTTATACGTCGGCAGCAACGTGCAGAGCCACGTCTAAATACACTGCTGCGCAGATTACGAACACCATGATTTGTGCTGAAGACCCGGGAAAGGATTCTTGCTCAGTAAGTCTGTCTGTATTCTATTAAGTTTTCGGTTTGAGCCAATAACAAACTTTTTTCAGTCTCCTTGCCCAACCTATGTCACTAAAATTGTCCAGTCGCCTATTCTGTAAATGCGTCGAATATAGAATAGTTATGACAATTTAATCATGTGCAACCTCCTCCTCTATCATATAAATCTTGGATGGCAAGTGGGCGATGATAGTAATAATATTTTACAAGAATTACACGTTTTGCTGGATGGTGTGCAGTTATTTCTTTTTATGTCCCTAAATGTTCTATGTTAAAATAACGGGGACAAATATTTACCTATCTCGAAGAGGTCAAGAATATAGTATGTAGTTGGTAACATTTTCCACGTTTTTGAAATCAAAGAGGAATATTACCTAATCATAATGCAATATCGATACACATGTAAGATGAAGTGATAACGTACATGGTAGGCCTACATGTATGTTTCATTTTGAAAGTAACTAAAGTACGATTACAATGAAAATATTTATATTCACACAGGGCGATTCAGGTGGTCCATTGATCTGTCCTTTTCCTACCAGTTCGGGCAATGTCTGGAAGCAGATTGGAGTCGTTAGCTGGGGTAGAGGATGCGCCCTTCCAAATTACCCTGGAGTGTACGCCAACGTCTCTGTATTTTATGAGTGGATCAGGACAACGGTGCGTTTATTTATTATTTTATTTTATCTTATTTTATTACAGTTTATTTAAAACATACCCTGACGTTTTAAAGATATCTAATTATGACACAGATACAAATGTACATTGCTAACCTATAAATACACCTATAGAATGCCGGCTTTGATTAGCGTGACACCCAACGTGTGATAAATGCTGTTTAAGTATTAATAAATAAATGCATTTTGAAAGTGAGAAGTATACATTTTATCCAGGAATTTAAAGTTATTCACATTAAGTCAATATCAGTTGAATATGTGAAATCGTATTTGACACTTTAGAACTTGATGTTAATATTGTTTTTTATTATGTATCTAAAAACCCTCATTTTCCTTACCTTTCATAATTCTTTTTTCCCGTTATTTCAGACAAACATGGGCGTAGGCAAGTATTCACAAACACTGATAATTATGAATTATCTACATTTTCCTGTTATTTTCTAATGCGAGTGATAACATACATCAATTGGTAGAAATAATGTAGTTGCGATTTGTTCTTTCGAATATTCTGAAGAATGGGTCAGTCATCGACATCGACAAGTGGCAATTGGTTTTTAGAAAGGTTATAGACAGATGCTGTACAGCGTGAAAGCATAAAAAGGAATCATACATTATGATCTTTACATTGTCGTTTATTCAAAGCGTCAAATACACTATACGTGTTTCTTCAACATTGTGGCTAAAACATGCCAAGGTTAACTTTAATTTATAGTTAAAACTGTATCAAAGTATTTTGAAATATTGACCTCTCTCTCTCTCTCTCTCTCTCACACACACACACACACACACACACGCAGGCTCGCACCGTTTACGCATATCAGTAAACTGGTACCTTGTTCCAGATTGCAAACAGTTTGGCTGTGATCAGTACTGCAGTCAGCAAGACCCCAGATTCCCACCCGTCTGTTACTGCCAACTTGGATACACCTTACAGCCCGACCACAAGAGTTGTAAAGGTAAAATATGACATGTAGGCTGTAACCCGTTTAAAAAATCTGAAGTTGTTTCTCTTCGATTGCTGATATCTGATATAGCCGACTACGTTATGTCGACTGTGCAGTGTAGGTCTATGAGCGTCCTTTGAACGACTGGCCCACAATTAATATAGCTGATATATGTAAATCATCTGTTGTCACTACTGAGAATAACAACCATTATGGAGACAAAAATTGTTCTAGGGGCAGGTGAAAACGGCTTTTTTAGATTCTTTGTGAAACGTTAGTTAGCCAAACCATTAGCAATCTATGCTTGTTACATACTGTAGGCAACCATTGTGAAATAATTTCCTGTTGGCCTGAAAACGCTTATATTTATTCCATTGAATTTTATTTCCTTTAGTTGTCGTTAATCAGCATATGACTAGCCGTCTATTATGCAGTAGTGTTGGAATAATATGGTCTCGGTTTGATTCCAGGAACTCATATTAAAGATGAATTTGTTTTTCATTATCACTCTTTTTTCTGGACTAGAAATTATACTGTATTATATATTGTATTATTATACTGTATACTGTAACAGAAACTAACAGCACAAATAAAATGAAATCTGTCTTTTAAGGAAATGCGGTTAAATGTTATATTTGTTCAAGTGAAAATTATTTATAGCATTTGTAAAGATATGATGTAGTATAATCCAAAATCGTTATTTGAACTCTATCAGATGAAGGTTTTCGCCCAAGTTGGCGGTAAGCTGACATGTAAGCTTCATATTGTTTTGCATGTACAGTATGTGATCTTGGATATGTTTGGTTATTTCAGATATAAATGAGTGTGCAGGCACTCATGGATGCTCTGACATTTGTGTCAATACCCCCGGGAGTTTTAAATGTGAATGTAACAGTGGACGAACCTTGTCCAATGACCTGAAAACTTGTGCAGGTACCTTGTCGTTTGGTTTTTTCCCCCTTTTTCATTTTATCTAACGAACGGCATCCTAAAGAAATTGTGTGACGAGTAATCAATGGTCATTTTTACATTTAAAATTTCAGTGACAAAAAGTAATTGCATACTTATATCATTTTACTGTTAAAACATTCCTGAACTGAAATTTATCAATAATAATAATAAAAAAATTAATGTTAAAACATTTATTGAAAATTTTTACCACACCACATTACTTTTGCTTTTAGACATTTTATAAAGGAAATTATATTTTTTTCTTATGTTTTCGTCTTTAATGATGTTTCGTTTCCTTGACTTATAAGCAAGTCAGCGTTTTGTCTGCCCAAGGCCGGCCAGGCCGTTGCATGGATTCGATACTTGTCAACAAGACAGGTACTTACCTGGCGACACCTGTCTCCAAACCTGTATTAGTTCTGGGTTTGTCCTAGAAGGGAAATCTCGGAGGGAGTGTGGGCAGGACGGAATTTGGACCCCCCCTGTAGCCAAGTGCAGAGGTAATGATATTTTACTGCCACCACTAAATTTTCTGTATAACTATATTAAAAAAAGAAATGGTGTATATAAGGAAAGGAACAACCAAGATGCGGTAATGGTGGTTGGTCTGTACAGTACCAGAACATGATGTAGTTTTATCTAAATTTAAAAGGCGCAGGCACAGAGACTGTTAAACTGAGATTTGAAAGATTTCACTGATGTGACTACTGGACGTTATAATAATACAAGCACTAGCGATTCCACGATTTATAGCCGCGTAGAAGAGGATATTTTCACTATAATATGTTGGGCAAGGAATGGTACTGGTAAGATTTTTGGATTTGGTATCGTTTAGCTTTTGATACGATGTTTGTGAGAAAGAATCTTTAGGACGGGCCACGTGCACCCTGCGCCCCCTTTATCCGCCACTGATTTGAATTCTGCAGTCTCTTATTGAATATACTTAGCTCAGACCTAGTCACCACCCTCCACCTTAATCACAAGTTTTTGTACATTTTATCGCTGAACTTCTTTCTTGATTTTTTCCTTTCCTTTGCAAGACATAAACGAATGCTCAAAGAACAATGGTGGCTGTGAGCAGAAATGTTACAACTATCCTGGAGGTTTTTCGTGTGGGTGCAACAGTGGATTTGAGCTAGACAACAATGGGAGAACATGCAAAGGTAAGGCTGCGTTCACATGAAAAAACTATTTTCTAAAAATCTAAAAATCTATTTGCGATATCTTGTGATCACGGTCTGTGCCCTGAATACCCCACGGCGTAATTACGGACAGCGCGAGCCAGTTACTTCCAAAGCTGTAATTAATTCTCGGCGCTGCCAGTAATTACGCCGCAAGGTATCATAATATACCGTTTACTTTTTGAAACTGGATAAGTACAAAATTTTCACTACCCCAAAATGGCTACATTTCAAGCTAATAACATTGTCTACCAACACAAATGGAGATTGACGAAAAACATACACGCAGACATAATAAGCAGCTTGATTTTGTTGAACAGAAATACCTTAACTTAAACAAACCAAACAATTTATTTCTCAAAGAACTTTTATCTTTTGAATTTAGATATAACCCCACCGGTGTTCACCAAGTGTCCGGGTAATGTTAACGTACCTACCCTCCCAGGGATGAACCACAATGTTGTCAACTTAGAACCTGTCCAGTATTCCGATAATGTGAAAGCCCACCTTGTCACCGGCCCAGGGGCTCAGGTGATGAATTTTTCCATTGGCATCCACACTGTGAAGTACGTGATCGCTGACGATGCTGGGAACACCGCCCAGTGTAGTTACACTGTGACAGTGAGAGGTAAATGTTTATTATAGTGTGTGTACACCTACATGTTCTAGGTTGGTATCAGTTTCAACTCTGAAAAAATTCAAATCCTATATTGTTATGATTGATTCAATGTTTACGCGCGTTTCCCTTTACAATTGTTACCGAATGGGATATGTCAGTAATTTTTTACAAATTTTGATGAAATTTTTAAGGATATAAGGGATTTCAGGCTCAACAGATTTAAGTCTCATGATGCTTTAAAGATTTTTCATTGTTTTGTTTTATTATAATGTACTTTTTGCCTTGTCGGAGTCCGTGCTCTCCGAGTATTCTGTAGTTATTTTTGTTTAGTCAATGAAATTTTCATCCATTGCACACATCACACCATATCAATTCTTTGTACTCTAGATGACGAAAAACCGAAAATCAAAAACTGTCCATCATCTTTAACGAGAACAGTGGAAAATAATATTAGACGAACTCGGGTGTCATGGGACGACTTGGACATTTCGGACAATTCCGGGAACTTTACCGTCCACACAAATGCGCCTCAAGACCGCTTGTTTTCCGTGGGTTCTTACAGAATAATATACACAGCTATGGACCCTAGCAGGAATTCAGAGGAATGTCAATTTGATGTGAATATTACAGGTAAAACACAAAGATGAACAAAACAACATACTTGATTTTAAATTTTGACTTCTGTAAAAATGGTGTTTTTAAAATAAGGATGTGTCATACATCACAGTCTGACTCCTTTTTCGCAGGGTAGTCTTAACTTCTATAAATGATATCCCGTATTTCGCTTTTATCCACAGTATCAGCCAGAGCAGTTTGTCCGCCCCTTCAAGCGCCTTCCAATGCCGATGTGCTGTGTTACTTTGCTTTAGGGGTCACATATTGTGTGATACAATGCAAAACTGGGTTTATCCAGCCTGTCCAGAATCACATCTTCTACCTTTGTACGATGGAGGGAAAGTGGACACCCACAGACTCGGCGCAAGGTTGCATTCCTGCGAAATAATTATGACTTGAAAACCGTTGTTCACGAAGAACATGTTCACAACGTGACTACATGTATCTAAGACCGTAAAATACGTAACTGATACTTTCAAATGCTGTGTTGAGCAAGCTGGTTAGATGCGACGCAAGTAAGACTGTTTTCGGTAAGTTTGCCTGGGTGTGAACACAGCTTTAATGACCTTAATGGACTTTTTGCTGAACTCTTCTAGCATGTTTGACAGTGTTCCTTCATTGCATCACCCTTTACAAATAAATGATGTGATTAGTCTGGAATCCTGACTGGATCCGCGGGTAAATAAAGATCACGTGTTTGGACTTGAGCTTCGTACTGGAACAAAAAAGTAAAGTCCTGAGACATTGAATTATTCATGATTGTACCTCTAAGGAAATGATACCATGTTATGTTTTTAGATCTTGGAGTCATTAATTGCTTTAGTGTCTCTTCTTTTTATTTATTTATTTTTATATATTTATTTATTTATTTTTATTATTATTATTATTATTTTTTTTTTTGCAAATGTCTCATGGAGTGTTGATTAGTGTTCAACATATGCGAAAACGTAAAACTTTTATATTATATATACATGTATGTACAAGTCAAATTTCTATGGACAATCAAACAGCTGTTTGTTAAGGCAAAGATGCAATATTTGAACGAAAGGTTTATAGATATATGAGAATAAAGAAAATTTGCCACGCAGGTTTCAGAGTGATGTATGTGGATTTGACCAAAAGACTCGCTAACATTGTAGCTTATGCTGCAAACTAGGGTAATTATTTAAAATGTTCAAAAGGCTCACATTTTCTAAAGTTATAACTTCTTTTTTCAATATTTAAGTATTTATCATTTACAGTTATCCACAAAAATGCACTCTCCAGCCAGATGCAACTAACTATTCAAACATTTGAATCAAAATTTATGAATATTAGCCTACTGACAAAACGTTTTTTGGTTAAATATGTTCATTCATTTTTCATGATTTTATTATCAATTATCGTAGGGGCATTGTGCACTAATAATATGGTCAGATTTGATTTAATGTGGACAGAACCCAGTCTGCTATCAGAAATTCCTTTCTTTAATTCTCCAAGACAGCCTAAAATTGAGGTTGAGGTATATCAGGTTTGTTCAAATCCACGAGGTCATCAAAACAAAGAGTGTTTGGTGAAAGATAAACTTTATAAGATTTAGATAAACTAAAAAAACAGTTTGTCGTTTATTGGTCGTGACAACCTGTCGAGAGGATCCATGTCGATAAACCACAGGCGGACGCGATTTATTTATATTTGCACGCCCACGTGACGTTTGAAATGTGACACTGCCCAGGACGTGCTAACGAGACTGTCATACGGAGAGGACTTTTATTTATGGTATGGTAATCAGGTCAAGGAATAAGACACACATCCTTGATCTAGTGAATTAACGCTGGTGGCTGTGGTCTATTTATGCTGATACTAGAATGCAGTTTTCTACTGCTGGGGGACATGTAGCAGGCGCAGTGCTGCTGGCAGCTGTGGTGGCGTGGTTGGTTTGCAGTGTGAGTTCTAATACACGAGGTAAGCAAATAACGGTTACCCTTGAAGGATGTCCACAAACTGATAAAAAACGCTGATTTATGTGGATAATATTTTGGTCGCTGCACGTCATATTTTACAATCTTTACACTAACAGGCTTTAAAAAGGATAAATTGGTCATTAATGCCCACTCTGCACGGAGATACAACATTACAAACTGCAATCGTGCATGTAAATAATGACCATGTAGCTCTCAATAGACGAGAATGATTGAATAAATCGAAGTTTACATTTTTGACGTAAAAACATCTTTTTCTGACTTAGTCGGTTGTGGAGTTCGACACCTCCAACGTCCAAGGAGAATTATCGGGGGACAAGCTTCGCTTCCTCATTCCTGGCCGTGGATGACACATATTAAGTTGGGGTATTCCGGAGACCCGTGTGCCGGGTCCTGTGGAGGAAGCCTCATTGCGCCCCAATGGGTACTTACAGCGGCACATTGCTTGTACACGGCGTGAGTACTTACTTTGAACTTAACTATTTGATGATGATTTTTGTCCTCCTCTTAAGGAAGATATGTGTTATGCTTAATTAATATTTATGTCGCTCTGGATATAGATAATGATAGACTTTAAGGGGCTCCATACGAAGGATCTTTTTCTGATCTGTTTGAATAATGTGGATCAACATTGCCTTGTTACTGTATGAGACAATGCTGCCACATCAGAAGTACAATTGAGGGACTCGTATCTCCTGAACAATATTATGTCAAACGATTCCACCGAATTTGAGTTCCCACCACCCAGTCCTTAGACGTCACCCAAGTCAATTTTCTTGATAAAATCTTAAAGAATTACGTCGGAAGCCGACCACTATCTCAGGCCAATTTATGACGCAGAAAGATTGATGGTAATTTAACGCATGATCCTCATGTGTGTAGAAGCGCAAGGGTCGGTGAAAGCAAAACACATGATTGACAAAATGTGACTTTCATTTTTTTTTACTGTGGTTAGCTAATGCATAGTTTGTACGATCAGTAGAATCTTGTAAAAAAAATACTTAAGATCGGAGAGGTTGAATAAAAATATTGGTTTATGACTTGATTTTCTGTTTCATTTTACGCTTTGCATTAGGGGTGACACTTTTTTGTACATATTGTAGGTATTACATCTTATACCAAAGAATCGTTAGGGAAGTATATTTTATATAAAAGAAACACGGAAAAAACATTTTGCCAAATGTAGACATTACTTATCGAATGCCCTGAAAAGGAGGGATTTCGTTCTTGACAGCCGATTGTTAAAAATATGGCTCATTTATAGCTATCGCGTTTTTCGCGGATATGCGCTTTTTTACTTATATTTCTACTTTTGTGACTTACCCCGATTGTTGTCACTGTTAGAAACTTATTTTTAATTTTTGCAAGTGTTACAACTTTTATTGTAATCGATATGGACCATAGTATGAACAAAAGAATCACTTGCGTCAGAAGTAAAAGCCAAGGCGTTACATGTATCAGCGTGCTGGGCTCCACTTGTGTTTTCGTAATGTACCTACTTACAGAAAGACGTGTAGCTCACACCGAAAGTGGAAATTGTCGGAAATTTCAGTCTACCTTGGTCTCCATGATACGGACAACCTGGCATCAGCCGTGCACAGGCGCGTAAAGCGGACAATTCCTTTTCCTCGATACGACAATTCAGCCCACGATTACGATGTAGCATTGCTACAGCTGTCTGCTGCAGTGCGGTATCGTGAAGAGGTTAGTCATGTCTGTTTGGCCGAAGAATCCACCGAAATAAATGATGGGGACCAGTGCTTGGTAATTGGACGTGGAACAGTGAACGTGTGGCGTATGTATCCAATTTCCATAGTACAAGAAGTGATAGACCCTTGTCAAGAAAAAAGAAAGTCTAAATATATCGAATTAATTTTGCTATCTTTTTTCCTAAATAAGATGCCTTTGAATTAGAAATGTTACATAGGCTACATTTAAATAGAATGGATTATGGAAAGTGCAGTTTTGTCCTTTTATCGTGGAAGAATTATTGAGATTGTTTAGAATAGGATGGATGAATATAATTGGAATGCATAGAAATGTATTTGAAATTGTATCAGATTCATCACCTATGTTGTAATTGATTTACAGCGAAATTTCCAACTAAAATTCTAAGGGAAGCCGTCGTAGATTTTCTATCGGCAGTATCCTGTAGAAACCAAACTCTTCATTTATCAGAAAGCATTACCGACAATATGCTGTGTGCAGCCGGAAAAGGAAGAGATGCATGTACAGTAAGACTACATATATTATAGTTGTGAATGTATTAAAACGTGTTGAAGAAACTATTGCTGAGTTTAATAACTGTATGGTCGTGATGTAGTAAGCGGGAGTTACTCTGTGACGGCTGAGTGTTAACAGTGATTTGATCGAGCGAAGCAAAATGGATTCAAAAATTCCGCGTTTGATATACATGTATATTCATTTTTTTTCTTTTTCTTTACACTGTACCTTGTAACTGTTTGGTCAGGTAGAACGACAGTATACTTAAATGTACATGTAATATATAGAACAAATTTGTAAATTCCCCCTATTGTTTGTTTCTCCCATTTTTACATCAGTTCCTCACTCATCTCCATACGAAATGATTTCATACGAAAAGGTTTTGTGGGACTGTTCATGAAATTTGGAAAAAAACCGTTTCACTAATTTCAGGGAGATTCTGGAGGCCCACTTATGTATCAAGTCACCGCTGGTCATTGGTCAGTTTGGAAGCAGATAGGAGTCGTCAGCTGGGGTGTAGGGTGCGCACACTCAAGGTATCCGGGTGTCTACACAAGTATTCCGAAGTTTTATAACTGGATAATTAGAGAGGTATGTGGACATAAGTATTTTTCTTTAAACTGTCACAAATCATTCAGGGGCACTGATTTATCTCTTTAGAGTTGGTTCTTATATTCTTTGCATAATGCTTTTTTAAGTAAATGTTTTTAACAGATTGATGGGGGCTTTACACTGAATGTTCAGTATTGTTATTATCATTTTTACTTTGTGGTTCCTTTTAACTCATTTTTTGACAGTTTTATATAATTCTTACAGGCATTTCTCAGAATCCTAGTAGAATATAATTGTGGCATTATGTTTTTCTTCATTTCAGACCAATCTGATACCGGGTAAAGTGATGGCTTGCTAATTTGTCTTCAAATATTTAAATCTTACTGCATGCGTCTTTTACACGCACTAAGTAATGAAAGACGACCCACCAAATTAGGTTTATAAATAAGACGCCTGTTTAATTGAAGACATAAGGTTTTAAATAACTTTTACTGTATTATTAAGTTGTAAAGCGATCTTAATACCGAAAACGTGACATCTGTGATTTTTTCAAAATTGCATTGGCAATGCCATTGACAATCTACATGTATATGTTCTTAGTGGAAGATTTGTTGGGGTTTCTGTGAATGTTCTCTTTTAGACTGTTCCGGGTTTGGCTGTGACCAGTACTGCAGTCAGCCAGACCCAAGGTTCCCACCCGTCTGTCACTGCAAACTTGGATACACCTTACAGCCCGACCACAAGAGTTGTGAAGGTAATATAAAACATGTAGGCTGAAACCCATTTAAAATGAAGTTTTCTGTCTTTTGGCAAAGATGCAGATATTAACATTATCTTTCCGGGGTAGTTTAATGCGATTGTTATGACAGTAAGGCTCACGATGCATTAAAAAAGGTGCGAGTGTAATCATCTGCTTATCTGTGTGCTTTCAAAGTGAAATTACTTCTAAAATGTTGATGGGTACTCTTTAAGCAGCGGAAATTATGAAATTGGACCTCTCTTTACAATTCAGATATTGACGAGTGCTCGCTGGACCACGGTTGTACCGACATCTGTATCAATCAGCCTGGCAGATACGCATGCGCGTGCCATCCCAATCGAACCTTGTCAAACGATCTCCACACTTGCTCAGGTATTAAATCCTACATTATTGGTAGTATTAATTGACGTGGCATGTGAAATATATACCAACCAATCACCTGACCTCATGGGCCTATAATTCACATATTTTGCACAATTAACAAAACAAACAAAAAAATAAATAAAAATAAAAATAAATAAATAAATAAATAAAAAGAAAAAAAAGAAAGAAATTAAGATTATGATTATTTGAATTATTTGAACTTCTTAGTTCAGGATAAATCTGCAACCAGCGGCGCATCTTTATCTTGTAATAATCATTCTACAGCTGAGCTCTGCTGGACAGTATACAGCAAATGTTGTTTTGTAGATTATTGGCACCGTACAGTATACTTTGCGAGGATATCAGGTGTTAAATTTGTGTAATCTTTACACATCATTTCAAGAGTAGCTTTGGTGCCATTTTTGTTATTAGTGTAATTAACCGACACTTATTTATTAGACAGCAGACAGTTCATCTGTCCTAAGCCACACGCCCCGTTGTACGGCTTCAGCAGCTGTGACCGACCACGCTACAAAATGGCATCGAGTTGCGAAATGAAATGTCTGACGTCCGGTTTTATAATGAACGGAAATTCGATCTCTGTGTGTGGAGAACACGGCGTTTGGACACCTCCAGTTGCCACTTGTGAAGGTAATAGCTGGTTGTTTTGCCTTTGTGTCTACCCATCTACGTATTCATGCATGATGCATTAGCCCATGTGTTTTTTTTTAGTGCATATTTCGATGTGGCTGGTACTTGACATGCACAAATTTCTGAATAACTTTGCTTAGTATGTAACGGTATAAAGAAAGTATATAGAAAGAAAGATACTTTATCCGTGTATATTTCTATTTTAGATATAGATGAATGTTCTGATAATAACGGCGGATGTGAAAGCGAGTGCTACAACTATCCGGGAGGCTTTTCTTGCGGTTGTCAAAGGTCTGGATTTGCACTTCAGACAGATGGAAGAAGTTGTGCTGGTTTGTGTCAAATTTAACACACACCTAACACATTTGGCACATCTAACGCAAAGTTAATGCGCCATGTGCGCCTAACTGTGTTTCTCTTGAACACATTTTGTACAGAAAATAAGATTTTTTCCAAATGCTTAAATGAATTATCTTTATAAACCCTCCTATGACGAGCAAGCTTTTAATCGGATGAACAATTGGCGCCTTAGAATGAAGTAAATCGGATGAATCAGTGTATTTTTCGGTATGGCTACGGTCAACTCGAGGTCAAGGATATCTTTCTTTACCTGAATACTCGACATGCGCTTTAAAGTAACTACGATTGAGAGCATTTTGGTTTTAATCGAAAATGAATAAAAAACTAACAAACCAAATTTTATTTTTGAACAAAATTTTGATTTTGTGTCGCATTCCATTCCAGATATATCACCTCCAGTTTTTACCAAATGTCCGAGTTCGTTCACCGTTAGCACAAATCTAGGCTGTAGTTATGCAACTATTCGTCTAGGTCAAGTTAACTTTTCTGACAACGTGGAAGCACGGCTAACTTACGCCTCACATACTCAAGATGTTGTGAATGTCACTCTTGGTTCACATACAGTCCTTTATGTCGCAAGGGATGAAGCTGGTAATACTGCAGAGTGCAGTTTTCAAATAACGGTGTTAGGTAAACCACTTACTATATTTTTTATAGTATTTTGACATGCTATCATATTACATGACTTAAGCTAACCTGTTGCTGTTTAATCTCACTTAATGTTATTAGTAGGCCTACTACTATTTTCTTGAAAAAATCTTTGATCGTTTCCTCGTTTTTCAGACTTGGAGAAACCCCAAATCAAAAACTGCCCCACCCATGTGCACAAGTTTGCTGACACAAACTGGCAAAAGATTCACGTAACTTGGGATAATATAGAATTCCACGATAATTCTGGGAATTACACTATGGTTAACAATGCACCCGTGGATAACATGTTTGCCATAGGACGCCACAATATATTGTACGAAGTAACAGACTCAAGTGGGAATTTTGCTCAATGTGGATTCAAAGTCATCGTTAAAGGTACACATGAATTCGCTTTTATATCTCACTCTCTCTCTTTATGCAAAGTTTCTATTTCTATTACTGCCTCGCAATCAGTAGTTTTGTAAAAGTTACAGGATAATTTGTCAATGTAACCCAATGGCACGTTTGATAAGCATCTGTGGTAGGTGTCTGAAATATTAATTGTGTCGATAAAGAATTATTTCTACGTTTGTCTTGATTTCAGTTCGAAATTGCCCCATTCTTCCAACGCCAGCAAATGGACACTTGGTGTGCGATTCCTGGTTTCTGGGACATTTTTGTGAAGTTCATTGTAATACTGGTTTTAAGCGAGTTTCAGCGGCGACTTACGTCTGTGGCATCGGCGGAAAATGGCTTCCGTCAAACACTGGCCCAGAATGCACCAGTAAATAAAAACCTGTGATGTCACAAATATGTGACTTTCTTGGAGATGTGTTTGGGGAACATAATAGCCCATTCATTCTCTCTCTCTCTCTCTCTCTCTCTCTCGCTCTCTTCCTCCCCTCCCCCCCCCCCTCCCCCCTCACACCCCCCCCCTCCCCT